ATGATTTCTGGCTTCTTCCCATGCCTGATAATCTTTGACTGACTGTCACACATTGTGAATTTTACCTTGTTGAGTGATGAATATTTTTTCTTTAAATCCTATACAGCTTTGTACTGAGATGCATTACCATTACTAGACAACCATCTGAGGTTTTGGGACTTACTAATATTATCTGTCATGTGAGTCCAGAGTAGAACACCACTTACGGCTGACCTTGCCAAGTACTCTACCCAGTTCCTGGCGAGTTATAAGTTTTCCAGTCCATCTGGTGATTACAGGCATAGTTTTCAGCCCTGTGTGAACACCAACCACTGTTTCCTCTAGTCCTTTAAGATGGTTCTTGCCCTGGCCTTGGGAAGTTTCCTCAAATGCATGGATTGAATATTTTGCTGGATACTCAAGGAGACCCTCTGAAAATCTCTAGTGTTCTCTCTCTCTACAACTCTTTTCACTAGTACTCGATTCTATGGACCTTAGCCATCTTGGTCTCCCCTTGCTCTCAGCTTCGTCTCTTCAATGCAGGGAGTTCACTGAGCACCACCTCAGTTCCCTCTGGAACTGTGCCACAGCCTGGAAACTCTCAAGGCATTAAGCTGGGACAATCACAGCGCACATCTCATTTGTTTCTCATCTCTCAAGGATAACTGTATTTACTGGCTTGAAAATTGTTGTTTTGTATATTTCATGAGCTGGTTGTTGTTGTTCTTCTTCTTCTTTTAGATGGAGAGTAAACCAGTTCCAGTTATTCTGTCTTACCAGAACAACAAGTCCTCACGCATTCTTGGGCTCACTGCCCTCTCTTGAGCATCTTCAGTCTCGCCTTTTCCCCTGATGACCACTCTAAACCTCTTGACTACTAGCATGCTCGTGAGACCTTTTCTTATAGAAATAAATTCTCTTAGCACTATTTTCTCTTTTTATGTCCACCTTCTTGAAAGAACTGTCTATATTCCAAAGAGTTAAGGAGTGAAAATCATGGTCTACCCTTCAATTCCTTTGCTTGCTCTTCATCCCCTCGTTTCTCAGGTTGGTTTCCACTTCAATACTCCAATGAAGCTGTTTCTACCATTGGTTATTAATTAGCACATTGTCACCACATCCAATGACCTTTCTCAGATTTTAGACTTATGTTTACCTTATTTGACTGGTTCTTTTGATTTCTTGCCCATATTTGACTTAAAGGATATTATATAGAACTGTCTGACTTATATTCCTTATCAAAAGCAGATGCTGTAATGTAAGCTCCAAACAGCAGGGTTGTTTGTATATTTTGTTAACTGATATATCCTCAGTCCTTAAATCAGTGTCAGTCACATAACAGGCATTCAGTGAAATGTGGAATGAATTAACAAAATATAATTGGTGCTTAGCACCTTTCTTCCGCTTTCTACCCATTACCCCTGGACAATCTCATCCAAATCCACGACTGAGTTGTCTCTCAAATCTATCTCCAAAATCTCTCTAGTCTGCTTGTCTTTTAGCATTTGGATCATTGCTGGATGTCCTGTCAAACCTCAAAATTAGCATGCCCCAAACTAAACTCATTATTTTTATCTTAAAACTCTCTGTCATGTTCTCCCTACTTTTTTTTTTTTAACAATTCACCAAAACACAAAGCTATAAACTTGACTCATATTTGATTGTTTTATCTTCCTTTCCTCTCGAATATCCAGCATAACTGTCACTTTTACAGTAGCAGTAACATCCCCACAAGTATTGTCCCTGCTGGATCACCTCTACATCTAACGGGTCTCCCCCAACAGCTTCTCTAGTCTCTGGCCTTAGATCCCAACATACCCTAAATCTCTGCATGCTGTGCCTTAACTCAGTAAGACCACTAATCTTTCTCTGAATACACCTATGCTTTCTATCCCCAACTCTCCTCACCCCATTCCTCTCTGCTTAGATCTTACCCATCATATGAGACCCTACTCAAATGTAACCTTAACTATGAGCTTTTTTTGACCCTTCAGATTAGAAATGATCACTCTCCTCTTTTAACTTTCATATTTACACCATTAAGTATACCATATATCACATTCTGTCTTAGCACAGAGCCTGACGTATATTAAATAAGCAATATATGTGAACTGTTTTTATCAATACACAACTTATCTACCTAACCTGGGTGTAAACTTCTTGATGGCAGCTTCCTCCAAGGAGGCCTCCAAAAAGGCATTATGCCAGGTTCAGAACAATGACCACTCAAAGAAGCTTGATATCCAAAAAATTAGCCAATCTAATAATTAATTAATCAGAAAATCAACTAGCACACAATGATTCTGGTAAAACATATTATTAAAAAATGTAATAAAAACAAATACAAAACATAACTTACAAGTAATAAAATTATATACAGACAATCTTTTACACTGTAATTCGAAACTGCTCCTCTAGCCATAGTGCTGAAAGATAACTCTGGTAAGTGAAGAAAAGCATACTTTGCGTTACTCTTACACATATTTTAGAAGCTATTTTCCTTGAAAAGAATTAAGCTAATAAAGTTTATATAACTTCATTGCACATTAGTCAAAAGATATTCACAGTTTTACAAACAACCAATAAAGTACATACTTCCATCAGAAATCCTAAACCTTGGATACCACTAAACTTCACGTGAACACCTGAACTGGCATCCTATCTCTAGCTGTATAACAATAGCCATGTCATCATACCTTTGATCTTCAGGTAATTTAGAAACAGAATATGGAAAAAGATTCCTACCTGTCATATAAGCGCTGTTATAAGGCTGACAGAGGACTATATAGATTCAATTTACTTTCATTTGCTTATTAATTTAACAGACATCTGTATCCATGCTCAAACCTTGTGCCAGACTCTGGGTATACAATACCACATACAATGCTCTATCCGCCCTTAGGAGATTCTCACCCAAGATGGGGAGATGGGCATGTACACAAAGCAGTGCTACAGGCACTAACTGGGAGAAATACAGACAATGCCTAGTGGGGAGAGGAAGGAGTACTCAGTTCTGTCCAAGGAGAAAAGAAGGTAGTCAGAAACAGCTTCCTGCAAAGAGGCTATACATGAGCTCTGCTAATCCTCTCTGGGATCTCTCTACTCATTACAATCCCCTTATTCTTTCCCTCATCCTAAAACCAAGCGATGTCTCATTCCTTTAACAGCTCCACAGTTTCTCATCTCAATTCTAAAATCGGAAAAGTTCTCAAAACCTGCACTTTTTTTCTAGCTTACTTGCTGGCAAAGGCTGACCTGAACTGAAGTAAGGTTCTTGATCAACAATATCCTTTCTACTTTTTGTAGGAAATCCTAATTAATAATTCCATCATCCAATCATCACCTAAGCCAGGAATTGAGACAGCCATGGCTTTCTCACTCTCACTCTCTGAACTCAACTGCACTAGGCTTTGTCAATTCTAGCCCTCAAATATGTATCCTACCTATTCCTTCCTCTTCCTCCCCCTGTAACTGCCTCAGCCAAGGCCTTCATCATCTCAGACGCACCATCTCAGTAATCTTCTGACTCCACCTCTAACTGTACTACTCACAATTTAGCCTCCACATCATGGCCAGTTTGATTCTTCTCAAATGGACATCTGATCATGTAGTTTCCTTGCTTAAAACAGTCTGATGTCTCTGCACTATCTACACAAAAAGCCCAAACTCCTGAGCAGAGTATGAAAGGTCTGCTAAGAGTCAGCCACCATTGAATACAATTTGTCTCCTGGCACTCTATTAAACATACACTGCAGCCACACAGAAATGCAGTTTCTAGGGGTTGCCAATCTGTTTCACACTCCTTGCCTTCACTCTGCCCCTCTGCTCCTAAGTCCTCTTTCTTTTCCACCCCCTCACCTTGTTTCTTGTACCAGACCTACTTATCAACTTCAAATCTAACGTAGCAAACCACATCATGCATCCTTCCCTTCCCCAGGTCCAGGCAACACTGTCATGCCCCTTCCTTCCATGCCCCGTCGATTTCTGGATATGAACTTAATGTTTATGCAGCCAGTACACTGAGACTCCTGGAATGCTGAAATCATTGTTTATCTCATGTCTAACACTGAACCTAGCACATAGTAGATGCTCAAAATAAGCTGGCTGATGCACAATCTTTTCAACTTTCCAGACAACGTCTCACCCTTCTCCTTCCTTATCAGCTCTCTCTGCATAGCAGCTCTGTTCTCCATCTCTTACAACTGTTCTTCCATTATTTCCTCTAACTTATACTCTTCTTTCCTTCTTCATTGTCAGAAGAGAAAGAGGACACACTTGGAAAGTGAAAAAAAAAAAAAAAAAAACCCTAGCCAGGATTTCTCACTAATAACTTGACACCGAAAACATTTGGGGCCTGATAACTCTTTTCTTTGGGGGCTACCCTGTGCATTGTAGGATGTTTAGTAGCACCACTGGCCTCTATCCACCAGAAGCCAGTAATACCCCTGCCCACAAATGTCTCCAAAATGTCCCCCTCAGAGGCATAATCTCCCCTGATTGAGAACCAGTGCCCTAGACTGACTTTGCTTGGCTCCATCAGGAAGCAATAGGGAAAGGCTGATGGATAATCTCTTGCACTGACTTTCCTCCAGGTGAAAAATGACGAGGGAAGAAAATTCAGACTACATCAGTTTACTGTTCAGGGAGTGTGTGGCCAAGAAACATAGGCTGGAGTGACACTTCAAGGAAGGAAAGTACTCCACGGACCCAAGATGAATCCATTTTGTCATATATAAGAGTTCCAGATTTCAGGATTCATTTGTATTAATATTTTCCCAAGCTTCATTTATTTAGTGCAACTGAAAAATGACCTGCTAGAGGGATGCAGGATACAGCAGTTTAATGCTATTAAATCCATTTCAAATCTTTTTTGAAAAAGAGACAGTGTTCAAAATTAATAAACTGACTAAAGCATTAAACTATAAGTAGAAGGGAGGGGAGGAACCACATAAATTGCACAGGAAACCAGGACATCTTGGGATGAGAAAGAAGAAGGGACAGAACCCCAGCACAGTACCCACCTGTGGTCGACACGACGTTCTCGGGGCTTTCACTGCAGAGTTTGGACAACAGACTGGTTTTGCCAGAGCCTGTGAGGCCTATGCAAACCAGGTCATATTCTGGTCGTGCAGGTGGTGGTCCCTTGCAGCAAAGTGCTCTAAAACACTGCCAAAAGAAGGGGGGAAAATGTTCCTTTAAATGAGAGTGTGGAAATAAACCTTAGTCACATTTACAATGACTGACTAAGTATTAAAAAGTAATTGAATAAACTATTACCTATAAGGAAGAAAATGGTAACTTTAGAACAGTGAAACCTAGAGACACCACTCTAGCCAAGTGATCAAAGTTAACATCCTTAGTTATGAAATGTTTTTCTACTTCATGGCTGCCTTCCTGCTATGGCAGGTGCACTGCAAAAAGCATGACATCATCCCACAGCTTTCCTGCCAAAACCACACAATCTGAATCTAAGCATGAGGAAACCAGATAAAGCCAATCTAAGGAGTATTCCATAAGGCAACTGGGCTGTTCTCCTCCAAAATACCAACTTCTTAAAAGTCAAAGAAAGACTGAGGAATTGTTCCACGTTAAAGAAGACTAAAAAGACATAATAAAAATGCAGTACATCTTGGACTGGATCCTAGATCAAGAAGGAAAAAAAAAAAGCCATAAATGACATTATTGAGACAATAAGTGAACACTGAATATAGACTGCATATTAGATAAGAGTACTGTATAAGGTTAAATTTCCTGAATTTAATCAATGTACTGTGGTTATGTAAGAAAAATCATTGTTCTGAGAAAATATTCTAATTATTTATAATACCTCTAAGTATTTAGAGGTGAAGGGTCTTGATGTCCAAAATTAACTGGCTCAGAAAAATTCTAAATCTCCAACTCCATCTTTATCTGGTGAGGACAGTGATAAAGTCAACATGGCAAAATGTTAATGACTAGTGATGCTGAGTGAAGAGAATAGAGGAAAATTCCTTATTCTGGTCTTACCACTGCTATTATTTCAAAATACAAAGATTTTTAAAGTCATTAAATACAGTCTCTGTATATACCATTGCCTTTCTGGCCTTTGTTAAATTGTGTTTCAGGTCAACCAACCAGGGTACTATGAATTGTAGTATAGTTTGTGCACTGCACAAACCTGTTTGCTCACTGCACAAACCTGTTTGCTCTGCAAGAGTTAAAGACAAGGGGATCTGGGCCAGGCACGGTGGCTCACGCCTGTAATACCAGCACTTTGGGACCAGTCTGGCCAATGTGGTGAAACCGCGTCTGTACTAAAAATACAAAAAAAAAAAATTAGCCAGGCATGGTTGCAGGCGCCTGTAATCCCAGCTACTCAGGGGACTGAGGCAGGAGAATCACTTGAATCTGGGTGGCAGAGGTTGCAGTGAACCAAGGTCACACCACTGCACTCCAGCATGGGCAACAAGAGTGAGACTCCATCTCAGAAAAAGCAAGGAAAGCAAGGAAAGAAACAAAGGAAAGAAAGGAAAGAAAGGAAAGGAAAGGAAAGGAAAGGAAAGGAAAGGAAAGGAAAGGAAAGGAAAGGAAAGGAAAGGAAAGGAAAGGAAAGGAAAGGAAAGGAAAGGAAAGGAAAGGAAAGGAAGGAAAGGAAGGAAGGAAGGAAGGAAGGAAGGAAGGAAGGAAGGAAGGAAGGCAGGCAGGCAGGCAGGCAAGAGGATTTGGGAGACAGGGTATCATTTGTGCAGCTTTTGATCTTTCTACTTATCCATAAGGGCCAACAATGTGCCAGCTTATAGAGCCCAAAACATTTAGACCCTGAATGATTCATGAGAGAAAGAGGGAAAGGGGGAAACAGGGAGGAAAGAAGGCAGATCTACTCACTTCTGGGTCATCTGGAGATCATGAGAGAAGAGACCTATAAAAAAGTCTGTTGATTCATCTCACTTAGATAAAATCTGAATCCTAATTGGCTGTCATACTCTCGTAAATGAAGCTTGATTATCTCTCTCCCTCATTTCTCACATCTAATCAACAAATCCAGTTCATATGACCTTTGAAGTAGCTCTAGGATCTGTCCACTTCTGTCCAGCCCAGGCCATCATCACCTGGACAAAATCAATATCCTCCCACTAGGTCCAGTATATTTGCGCTTGTGCCCCCTATTCTCCACACTGCAGCCACTGGATTGCTTATAAACAGAAAATCTGACCATACGTGCTTAAGCCATCCCAGTGACTTTGCCCAGCTCTCCAGCCCAAACCCTTACCATGGTCTACCCCACACTCCATGATATGCTCCAGCCAAGCTCACAAGCCTCATTGCCCTCACTCCCCTAGATCCTCCAGCCATTCCCTCTCTTACCTCAATTGAGGCATCTAATATGCGGTTCCCTCTTTCCCCTATTCTGGACTTAGCCAACACCTCATCAATTTTAGGTTTCAACTTAATCATCCAGTCCTCAGGGCAGTCTCCTCCAATCCTAAGATTGTGTTAGCAATTCACGTCAAGCTCCACAGGGCTTTTGTAAATTCATTACACAGACAATTGTAGTTTCTTATTAGTCACCAGCCTGTAAGAACCATGTCTGTCCCCCTTCATCTCAGTACCCCCAGTGTCTAGCAGAGAACATGGCATAGAATCTACCCTCAGCAGATAATTGTTGAATGAAGAATGAACGACACTTAAATTTTACCTAAGCAAAGAAAAAAGAAAACATAGAGACTAATAGGATGCTTGATCTATGCTCTCTGGGCCCTCCCCGCTTCAAGAAAATAATGTCAAAATTAGAAACCCTTGACTTTTTCACTTTACTTCAATGCCATTAGTTAGCCTAGTTCCCTAAATAGTGGTTTTGGTGTACACGATCAACTTTCTTGGTAAATTAGAGCTTCTTTTTGTCCTAGATTCACTTTTCCTCCATTTTCAAGAGGTTCTGCCTGCTTCTGGTAAACAATTCTATGACCCATATTCTTCGTGGGTTTATTCACGTTAATTGTATTTCCTCTCAGTCTTTTCAAGCCTGAGGAGTCCTACTTATTTCAGTCTGTCTTCATCCTATGAGATGTTCTTCTCTGACCTTCCTTTAGTTCCAGCACACCCTCTCCCACAAGATTAATGACCATAACTACTAAGAGCATTCTAGACGCCAACACATCGTGTTGTGGATTCATATGAAGGCTGGCTGATACTGTCTGACTTTTACAAGCTTTTTTATAAAGTCTGTCTCCCAGACTCAGAATGAGAGTTTTTCTCAGAGATAGGTTTATTTATGTATGTATCTATTCCCTCAAAGATGGCCACTGGCTAGCAGCTGTTCAGACTTCGAAAAGGTCTTCCACATTCAATTAGGACAAACAATAAAACTAGTCACACAGTTTCTTTTACTGGGCTGCTTTGGTCTTGTTTGGGGTTCAAGGAGAAGAGATACCATTCCTGCTCTAGAGGCCCTCATTCTCACTCAGCTCCTTCCTCTGGACTATCTCCTGGAGGAGGGCTGGCCTGACTATCATAAATCTTAAAATATCGAATGAAACTGTATGTAACTGATTGCTAGAGCATCCTGCTTAAATTATTCATGACATTATCACTCATATTTTTGCCAAACACTCCAGAATTTCATCTTCATGTTCTTTTTAAAATCCAGAGTATAAAAACTTTGTAGCCAACTCCATTCTATTTCACCTGTTTATTCTAGATCACCTAAGGCACTTCTGACATAAAAGATGATTTCATAATGATAGCAGTGATATTCTACTCCACTGTCTTTTCTCTTCTCTTTTTTTCTTTTCTCCAGATGGAGTTTTGCTCTTGTTGACCGGTGCCTGGGCTGGAGTGCAATGGCACAATCTCAGCTCACAGCAACCTCCACCTCCCGGGTTCAACTGATTCTCATGCCTCAGCTTCCTGAGTAGCTGGGATTACAGGTATGCGCCACGACGCCTGGCTAATTTTTGTATTTTTAGTAGAGACGGGGTTTCACCATGTTGGCCAGGCTGGTCTCAAACTCCCGACCTCAGGGGATCCACCCACCTCAGCCTCCTAAAGTGCTGGGATTACAGGCGTGAGCCACCATGCCCAGCCTTCTCTTCTCTTTTTCTCAAAACGATCTCTCTCTGTCGGCCAGGACGGAGTGCAGTGGAGCAATCTCCAGTCACTGCAACCTCCAAATCCCAGGCTCAAGCAATCCTCCCACCTCAGCCTCCTGAGTAGCTGGGATTACAAGTGTGCACCACTGCACCCAGCTAATTTTTGTATTTGTAGAGATGGGGTTTCACCATGTTGCTCAGGCTGCTCTCCAACTCCTGAGCTCAGGCGATCCACTCACTTCAGCTTCCCAAAGTGCTGAGATTACAGGCGTGAGCCACTGAGTCTGGCTTCTCTTCCCTTTTTATATTCTCACCAGTGATGTCATCTCCAGTCCCATGGTTTCAATCATATAACTGAATGACATAAAGACATCCAACGTGACATCTCCCCCTGCACCTCCCCAAGCTCTTTCTCAAAGTCCAGGCTCTGTAGTTTCAGTTGTTCTATAAGAACCCAAACCAAAACTGAATAAAACAAAAGCCTCTCCACAAAACCACAGGCTATGGAACTTAAAATCTAGATTGATAGTTATTACAAGGCAAAATCTTCTAAATAAATCACAGACTCTTAGAAATCAACATGTATTTGAAATGATGGAATAAATCATCCTATGGGTAACAGGAATAGTGTCAGATTTTGAGTCAACAAGATAAAACTTTTAAGGGTATGCTACTTCCAATGGGGAAGGAATGGTCATGTTTTCTGAGTCAGTTCCTAAAAACTGTAAAGAGTTTTCATTTGTTTTTTGTTTTAAAACTTAATGAAGCTTTGGATCCTATAGTCAATTTACTTAAAATTACTCATTTTGGCCTCTAGACTATACTGTACCAAAGTTCATTGTATGTGTCTCCTACAGCAGCTCTTGCATTGTTAAGAGTAAGCCCTTTTCACTGTCATACAATGCAAAACACAATGCTGTCGGCAGCCCTGACAGCAAGCGGCAAACTCAGGCCTCATTCCCAGGCCAGACACTAAGGCATTGTGTAACTCTGCTCAAGCCTCATAAACCTATCCATGCTTCAGTTTCCCCATGATTAACCAGTAACGTTTTAACACTCTCTGCTACTTCCTTTCTTCAGGAGGATGTTATGAGGCCT